TCTTTTCTTTACAATAAGGCTTTCAAATAAGTCATGGTTGTACGGCAGTGAAGCATCAATGTTGAACACTGATGTCATGCTGTCGATGATGATGATGATGATGATGACTAATAAGCATCCATAGTGTCTAGTGCCCTACCTGGGTTTACTAATGAATTCGTCGACCATCATGCTCACACACGCCGACGGGGAGTCATTCCGCTCACCACCTCTAAAAGGTTTCGAAGTTCATGAGGTGGTCTCCATGAAGAGCTGCTTGAAACACAGATGGGCTGATACAGTTGTTTTAAAGAGTGATTGGAAGAGAGTGAGCGGAGCTATGCCTTCAAATTCTGAATGTATTAGCCATCTATACACTGGATATCATCAACGCCATAGTTCCCAATGACGCCAGGTAAACCAAACCAACATGTAGCGACCAAGATTGATGCCTTTCTGATAGTTAAACGTTGGTGGGCTGTAGAAGTACATGTGAAGGAGGGTTTTTTTGCGACAGGGCACAACCACCTGCGTTCCGGTTTATATACCGTTCAGCTGTAGCACTCTTTCGGTGCCTAACTGCCATGCCATACGAAAGAGACAAGAGGACTGGGGTACTGCCAGGTCGCTCAAGCCTAGATAGGGGAAGTCGAGTGGCAGAGGTCGCACCACGGACCTACCGGTCAGTGAATTCGTGCTCTAACCACTTGGTCCAGCTCTCCCTCCGTACCAGTTTACTAGGTCATCTGGTCAGAAGGGGGCGGGAGTCAGCAAAACGGTTTGTAGAAATTACGGGCCAACTGGCCAATCGTATTTTTAAGTACTGGGCTGTACTGTTAAAAAATAGCTCATCTGGCTTTCCTCAGTTTGACGTAACTCAGTGGTTAAGGAGCGAGCTTTTTGACCGGAAGGTTCGTAGTTTCAACCCAGCCATGGCATCGCGACTGCTCCCCTCTAGGTTTGGGAAACCTGGCAGTATCAGCCCTCAGCTTCTATGCGCTGGCAAGGCAGCTAAGCACCGGAAGGATGTTACAGCTGAGCGATTCGTTTCCCTTACACAAACCCCAGGATTACCCAATGAACTTTAGTGAAAGACTGGTACCAATGCCCCACTTGCAACAGAGATAGCGTATCTTCAACGCAGTAGGATACTCTGCACTCTTCAACGAGGGCACCGAATCCCTGGAGGGCTAGCCAACAACTGTCTGCAAACTGCCGTGAAGTGAATAAACCTTATCCTTGTGCAAAGGTTTGCTAGGCTCGACAACCCACTGAGCTATACCGGAGGATGTAGCATCCATAGGATTTCTCCTTATAGGTTGGTGTGGTGTATAGTCTGTTGTGGATGGGGAGGAAAATGTATGTGAAATAGAGAGAGGGGAGGCCTCAGCTATAGCCTGTTTTTGCTTTCCCCGCCCTGCTGTATGCAGCAAGGTGACCCGGCTGATGACACCACACGACAACCGTGGTGACATGAGAGTATGGGTGGTTTTAGGTATCGTGGTTGTACGTGCATTGGTCGATTCGGTAAACGGCGTTTATTTGTCGTCTCAGCATACGCCGATACACTGAGTTCTGAGACTGAGATGTAGGGTTTCATCGAGATCTGTCACGATTGCTTTGATCAGCAAGATATATGGTAATCCTGGTGGGTGAGATGAATTCCCATTTTGGGCAACTAAGTCTAGATGTCCCACAGTCCTTTGGTAGGTTTCGCGTCTGTATCCAGCGAACGGATAATGGGGCGGCTGTCTCAGTTGTGTGCTGATCGTTGTCTCTCCCTAGTCCATACATATTCCAGCACAAAAGCACACATCGAGTTATTTGAAGGCCATCAACCGCAAGACAGTCATGGATTCAATTGGATGATGGAGAACGTCAGTTAAAAATTGTCGTTACTTATGGGGTATGCAAATTGACTCTGATCACGCCATCGTGCGAGCCCGGTTATCACTTCACTTTCCATTAGCATTACGCGTGCTAAATCAGAGCAGTCTCGTTCATCAACTGACAAGCCTCAGTAACTCAAGTGTATTCAGCTGACCTGGCTAGTATGCTACTAGAAACGTGATGCAGACGGCGAAGAACACCTGGAGGTTGAATGGAAGCGACTGAAAGAACAGCTTTCAAAACTGTTTACCCAATCCACTTGATTCGACTGAATAAAGGGTGCATACCGTTGAGATCAGCAGATTTTATTGTTGTCACAAAGGCCATACCAGCAACGAGCGACTGTGATGGCGCGCGCATATCTCTCAGACAACAAATAATTGCGAGCTTGGAGAATGACAGAAAACGCTGGTGGATTTCGAGGGACCAGGAAATGGAGAAGGTTGTCGTTGTAGGCAACAGCCGCAACCTCTATCTCTCCTCCTATTGGCTCTTTATCCCATCCAACAATGCATCATCCCATCGCTAATCAATAATCCAACGTGCCCGTTAGATCGGCGCCCAGTTACGAAGGGGAGCATGCATCATGACTTCCTGATTGAAAATGCTATCAGTGATTATATGTTACTAAAGCTTCGCTACCATGTTCAGTGCTGTAAAACAAGGCTGTCCTCTCACGGTTCCCGTTCAACTATGTCATTGGTGTGCTGCTTGAAATTTCTCTGCCTGCCTCTGAAACCTCGGGCGTCGAAATTCTCCCGGGACGTTCGCTCACAGACATTGAGTATGCGAACGATATTGCTTTCTTCAAAAATACAAACCATTTTAACTAACCTAGATAACGGTTTGGCATGCGCTTCACACCTTGCAAAGTGTAAGTTGCTGCTGGAAGAGTGAGCGGGATCAAGCCCAAACCTCATGTTTGCAGGAGCCAATCGACGTGGTAGGTAATTTCGTTCACCTGGGGAGTTGTACAAATTTCGGTGGACTGGCTGGAAATCAGATTACTCCTCGGATCGCGAAGGCCAGGACAGATTTTACTAACTTTCGACACCTACGAGCCTACGTGCCGTGGGTTTGTCTATTACTGCGACAGGGCGTTCCATACTGTGTCTACGCGCAGAGGACATACGCGAAACATGTCGCTGTTCGACCATCGGCCTAGTAATGCTGAGACACACCCGATGGTCCTGGGAAGAAGGAACTCCCTCACGGTTGATGATTTGGTCACGCTTCATGGGCTACGCTGATTAGAACATGTACTCCGAATGCCAGAAAACCGTCTGCCTCACACAGATCTTGTCGACTGGTCCTTTCTTGGGTAGAACCGACCGAGAGGTTGACCGTGTATGATGTGGGCAATGAAGTATGAAAATGGTAACCAGTAACCAGAGTCAGTTCGAGAACTGACGCTTCCCTGAGTGGGGGCCCCGGGACTCAACTCACCATTGTTTAAACCAGTAACCAGAGTCAGTTCGAGAACTGACGCTTCCCTGAGTGGGGGCCCCGGGACTCAACTCACCAATGGTTAATGACACTGGTGGAAATGACCCCATCGCGCGATCAGTGGTGCCTGTGCATCGAAGCTATCGTCTGCACTGCGTAGCTACCCGATTCCCGAACTAACTAAACTTGCCATCACCTTCAAGGCTTGGCTGTATGTGCCACACTTCGCCACTTTCCGGTGACGGTGGCACTTGGTACCAATGTGCCCCTAGTAATCGGTTTAGAGCTGAGGAATTTATATTTGAATAGGCAGCCATGTAGTGGTTGCGTGAAGGAAAATGTCCACACTGAGGCTGAGTGCTTCGGCGTTTTCGCACCCTCGTGTTTGGTGTCCGTGTAGTTTCCTTTTGTCCTTACAGGATGTTCTTTGGTGTCCTTTTAGGGCTTTTTTCTCCTGAGGGTAGGGGAGTAGGCTCCAAGAGTATTTCAGTTCACTACTGCCCATGGAGGATGATCGACAACAGGATACGAGCACAGCATTATAATGTTGCTGCTCCATCGCTTATCCTCGTAGACCAAGTAGTTCAGCGTCGACCTTTACTGTTGAGAATCATGTTTTCGTTTGTCCCTCTATGCGGCAGGGCATTTCGGTGCATGCTAGTAGTGAGAGAGGGAGTTTAAGCAACTGCTTGTGATATTGTATCGGTGGTCCCCAGCACCATCATAGGATACTTTGTATTCTTACATATTTGGGTATTCGCCCCAAGTTTCAACAGTAAAGCATTCTTTGTCTGAGAAGATCGACAGTTCGAAGAGGCCACGCCCTGCAGACATAATTCAGTACGGATCAGGCGATCGCAGTATACACACGGAGCTCTGTTTGAAGGCTGCCTTCTGAATATATCCTTAGAACGGTTTGAAACCGCATGAAGGTCATCCAAGTTTCTGGAAGCGTCTATTTCTTGCCGTGTTTGACCAGTTGGGAGGATGGTGAGTCAGCTTATTTTGTGGGCTCTCCGTTAACATCAAAAATAAAAGAAATCGCTCAGCTATGCCACCCTACTTGTCATACCAACGGGAGGCACGGGGCCGGATTAATACCAGGTTGCCCAAGTCTAGCCAGGGACAGTCGGGATGCTGAGATTGGATTCAAACCACGAACATTCCGGTCCGTAAGCTGATGCCTCAACCACTAAGCTATCTCGAGCTTACATGTCCATGTTTGCGAAGAAGAATTTCGCCCTTCCAGAGTTTGTTTTCAGTCCAACTGGCAAAGCTCGGTGTTCCCGCAATCAAGGATAGGCTGAATTTCTGTCATATTTTAACTCATCAGCATAACCAGGATCTGTGTGGCGAATTCGTCTAATCATTTGTGACCTAGAAAAACGTCGGCGAAGTTGGGTAACGTCTCATAGCACCGGGATTCGAAATGAACGCTGCTGCCTCCTCAAAATATACTCGGACGCAGGCTTTTCTGCCTGAATAGTGGGCTCCGATGACACTCAGCAGATTAACTGGTACACTACTGGCTTTCAAGACAAACCAGGAGCATTCCCAATAGACGGAGTCAAATATTCCCGGAAATTTAATGAAGCGAACGGTGGTTGGTTGGTGGAACTTTCGGCGATGTTTCAGAATGTGGCATAGCGTGACAATCCTGTCACTGTAGAGTCTTCCCACACGGAAACCTCTCTGATTCGGTGTTGTGTGAGATCTACAGTTTTTTCGTGGTGGCTTAGCAGTAGCATGGCTAATAGTTTGGCTGCGGCCCCCTCAGACTGATAAGCCAGTAGCTCTCGCAAGCCAGTCCGTTGCCTTTTTGGGTGTAGTGTTCAGGTACTTCAACCCACCGGGAACACTTCGGTATTCCATATTGAGCAGAGTAGCTTGTGAAGAGGTGCTAGTACTGCCGACAGACAGGTTTTCTAGATTTCCACCGGGCTACTGGCTTCACCTGAGAGCTTTTGTTCTCTAATGGTCTGCTGTTGTTGATAGATGGTTTATAGTATGGAGATTGTTGTATCCATGGTGGGTGGTTCGGGGCTGGGGGGGGGGCGATTGAGTAATTGGCTGAATTTTTCACCTCATATTTTTAGCCTTCTCTCATAACTCATTGTGCGTTGGCTGTAAGCATCTCAAGGACTATTCTACTGACCTGGCCGTAAGGCTGAGATAAGAAAAAGTCGTTGCGGCCACTCATCGACAGTGCTCTCTTTTTGTTGGAGGCCATTTCTGGCCGGTAGTCCACACGATTTTTTCCGGCTGAGCAGACTACCAGGCGACGCAGGCCGCGGAGGTTGGACGCTTTGGTCATACGCGCCTGGGCAATTTGCTGATAGGGATGGATGTTTCTTTCAGATATTCGTTCTATCATGGAGTCGAGTTGTCGTCCGTGCCGATCTGTAAGGTGAAGGTTGAACCTTAAACGTAGGCTATTGCTTGAACCACAATGCTATCCTATTTATACTCTATAATATGATAGTCTCCAACTGAGGCGAAGTGGCTCAGTTATTAGAGCGCGAATTTACTTACCGAAAGGTCCGTGGTTGGTAGCCGACATGCATCTCGACTTTTCTGTCTAGGCTTTGACAAACTGTCAGTATCCCGCCCTCGTTCTTCCTACGGGTGGCATGGCAGCTAGACCTCGAAAGGGTGTTACAGCCAAACCATTCACCATCATCATATTCTTATTGTAATAATAATTATTATTACAGTCCTCAACAGCTGCCACTGGAATAACAAGTGAGTAGACACCCCCTTCAGATGTTAGAAGCGTCAGTTGTGATTAGTCATCTGAAGGCCACAAACTCGATCATCAGTTTCACAGCGTTTTACTGGGCTAACGAATGACCTTATTTTAAGCCTTAGGCAGTGAAGCATCAGTGCCAACACTGATGTTGCTGTCTTTGATGATGATGATGAAGCCTTGGGTCTCGTGTTCCAGTTATAAGCAACCATCATGATATCGGGGCCGGGTATACGGTTGTCCACCCACAGCTGATCGTAGAAATCGTCTTTGAGCAGGGGCTGTATGATGAAGTAAGTGGACTCCTTCGGCTCAGTCGGATGCACTTTTGAAGTCAGTGAATACCAAGACTGCAGGGCGCCTTTTGTATGTCGATATTCTGAATCTTGATGGAGTTTGAAGATGTGGTCGATACAACTTGATCGGACTCCTGCTTGTTGTTCTTGAGTCCCTTCTTCACCTGCTGTCCAAAAACGGCTTAAAATAAGCGACGCAGAAAGTATAGTTACAATGAGAATCAAGGTAATTCTTCGGTACTTGTCACGCTCGTTGCAAGCACCGTTTTTGTAAATGGACACTACCATCGGGTGCGACGTCCTCTCTCACCCAAATAAAAACTAATAAATTAGGTAAACATTGGCTGAGGATCTCATCTCCGTCTTTGAAGAGAGTAGGTGAGAGTTTGTCAGGGCCAGCAGTTCGGTGGCGTTTGTTGGACAGGAGGAGCTCGCTCATCCGAAGACATCAGAAGTTCTGAGATCACTATCCAGGGCGCCGTTGTGGGCTGAGAATCCGTTTGAGCATTAACAGTTGTCAGGGTGGAATCTTGTTCAGTGTTCAGCCGAACTAATAATGCTTTTTTAAGGATGATTGGGCCATTTTCGTTAATGATTTTTCTCAATGGATGCCTTGCTCAGCTCGTTACGGGGATCATTTGGAACGGTTTCTGCATATTCCCAGAGTTTCTCACTCCCGCCTCTTCAGTCCTTGCGGTCCTCGGAGGTGCTGTTTTTCACCTGACGCCTGATAGCTCGTCGAGTTGTGCTGTACTCTCGACCACGAGGAGTACGTGCCATAACTTCTGGAAAGTTCATTGTTTTTCCGGAGATCTGGTTGAATAAGCCGCCCTACAGGTAAAGCGTAGGAAATCTTGCAGGTTTGTGTGCACTATTGACCAGAACAAACTTCTGTAGGTTGTTTTGGTAAGTTTGCTTTGGATTAGGGTTTGAGCTTCTCGGTAGTGCTAATTGAACAAATATTGAAAGATCTGACTAGGGGATCCCGATTTGAATCTTTCGGTGAGTTCACATCAGAGTTCGCCACATATGGATGGGACTGTATCAGCGCTGAAACAACTTGCAGAAACAGAATCGACCTGTATAAAAAGCTTGGTACTCGTAGTGCCTCGACACAACATATAGAATAAAGTACACCACAGAAATGACTGATCTCACAACAGAATAAAATCCAAATGTTGGTGTAGGATGAAGGTCCGGTGGTTAGTTACTGCAGCGTATTGGATTTCCGGTAAAACTTAGTTACCTTTGAAAACAGTTGATTTTATTTAGGTGTGTTCAATCCTTCCGGATTTATAGCCACTTCAAATCAGATGGTGCTACATTTGAAAGCTCTTAGGTTTTGTGGTAGAAGTTTAAGTGCTGAGGCCAGTGCTCATCTGCGTGCTGTATTGTGCCCACGCCTAATATAGTGTTCTTTGGGAACCGGTCTGTTTCCTCTCAACAACGTTGTCCGTTAGGCAAGGAGGTGCATTTTTGCCCTAGCACATAACTCGTTTTTTTTGCTAATTTGGAGTGGATTGGTACATGAGTTTTGGGTCTTAGACGTTCTTGAATTAACTTAATCTGATCCATCTTAAAAATGCTAAAACGCACCAGATCTCAAGCACCTCCTTTGGATTAACGGATGTGTCTTAGTGACTCCATATCCAGAGATGTAATTTTATACTTCTTGCATCCGCTCTATGATTTTGTTTGCCGCCAAACTGAGAGGGTCATCGTTTTTGGATACAACCTTATGTAGGAAACTCTGCACAGAAATCCCCATATGGACACATCCACAATTACACGAATGCAACAAATTTATCTATTCGGAATCTTCCAAGTTGCTTCACGTAGGTAATTGTTCTGGCAAATGGTATAACCTGCAGATATTGTCAACGCCTCCCCTACGGAAACGACGTCTCGCCCGGAACTCTTAGGTGAATATTTCCCTCGTCGTCTCAATACTATACGGATCTTGTCACCACAAAAGTCAAGTTGATACCCCCGTCCGCCACATTTACTGCGGTGTCTCTAAAGCTGGATATCACTGTCGGTCCATTCTAGTGTTTCGATGTTCAATAGTCTCAACATGTGAGTAACGCGGCTGAGGACCCCCCTTTCTTCAGGAACATCAGGACACCGATTGCAACGGAGTCACAAGCTTGTATGATTAAGATATGGTGAGGATGACAATTAAAGGACTTTCCTATCATGTCATGCTGTCAGTCTCTGGTGAAGGAAGGAAAAGAACGGTTGGTTAAGGGGTGCTTAGCAGCAGTAGACGATTTCAACAGCATCAGAGCTCCAGAAGTGTCGCTCTTTATGACGCTGACGCGTCATCGTTCTGTTCTTCACAGTCTTCAGGCAGGGCCTCTTTTATTCGTGCTGAGCACCTTAAAAAATAAAATTGTCCGCTACACAACACCTTTCATTGAATTTTGCTTGGTTTGTGATATTATGCACTTCGGACTATTTTTTCTCTATTATAGCACCTAGAATGCCAGCTAGAAAGGGCAGCACTAGAAAGTCAGTGAATCTTATCGAAGTACCAGAGGAAAGGTAAGTGAAACAAACCAATTGCGCAGTTCCCTACTCATCCTGCAGAACGTTCGTGAATCCCTCGGCCGTTAGTCCCCACTTATCATGCCCAATTTGTCAGGAGGTTTTTGTCAATCCCCAGCGAGCCCCATGCGGACACAGTTTTTGCAAAACAGTAAGTCACCGCATTTCGCGTTGTTTTTCGCAACTCAGCTCGTTTTTTATTAAGACCGTACTGATTTATTCATTCTTGTTCACGAAGCACTCTAATACGATATCACCAGAAAATGGAGAGTCCACGTTGGGCTCGGGAAGATGTCAGTGTGGTGCAGAGTGGAGTTATACATCCCCGGCTGTCATCGGTATATTTTCTAAGAAATCGTGCATAACCTTTGGTGAAAAAGTCCTGCTGCCTGACTTTGGGTGGCGGAGGCGCGATCACCAAACAGCGAGAACTACTGTTCTATGGTACAACGAAGTTCACAGATAGTCTTTCGAATGTTTAAATCATTTGGCTGGATCCACATATGGCGCATAAAGCAAATGCTTTGGTTGCCTGTCAAAGATAGTGGGATACCTAGTTTGTTCACCTGGATACCGTTGGCTGACTTGTATGCGAAAAGTGATCTGACCGTCTTTGTTGCCAGGGTAGACAGTTACTGTTCAGAAGACTAAAAACTTCGGTCCTGGGCTTTCTGCCTTGCGGTCATATTATTTAAGTACTGGTGAGGTTTCGTCAGACAGAGACTGAATATTATTGGGATTTGCACTCGTATTACACTTGAATGATACCCCACGGAAACTCCCTATATCGGCATTTGTGAACTAGGATCGTCACTCAATGGGACCAGTCATAATGCAGTAAAATCTGAAGATTGCTTCCTGGCTTTATGACAGAGGTGGACAGTGAACAGTTGTCCTGTTGGTGTGATCTGATGGTTTCGTTTTGGGTAGGGTTGCCCCGAATCTCACGACAATTGACGCTGACGCAAACTAGATTAATTCGATTTTTGTATGAAGTAACTTCAGTTGAAGTGTAATAATCCGGTGTTGGGAAAAAGTCCAGAAAACTGCACAAGGATCCGCATAATACTGGAGCAGACTGCCCACCTGTTGCTGATTGCAGACGTGCGCATGGTACTTCTAATTATAACATGATTACTCATTGGTTTACCAGTAGGATGCTCAACAGCGTCTACCACCCTTGAGAACACGATGTTCATGTGGCAAAGCCGCTTGGCAACCGAGTAAGATTGGTCACTTCTAAAACGTACTTTAGCCTTGCGTAAAATCAGGAAGATTCGGCCACAAGAAAAAACTAAGTTATTGTGTATAAGTAACTTCGTGCGAATCTGACTTACCTGTTTCTCCAAGCGTAGTGCACTGTATACAATACCTTTTTCATTTTTAATTTTCCCGTTGTATTTCTATTAAGAAGTCGCGGAGTAGCTTCAAAAGTTTTCTGGCATATTATGATGATACCTATTTCATCGTCTCGTGATATCAAACTAAGATACCCCCAAGATTGGGTGCAACGTGCGATCCCTTGAAGAATCCGGTCGTCTCTGAATATCCGATGGATGCATTGCACAGACCATTGCATGCATGAATGTCATTTACACCCCAGTGAATGACCACCTCTACTCGTTGGGCTGAAGTTGGTTAGTGTGTTTATGTGCCAATGGGCCGAAAGTACTGGCTGATTATCATCGCCACTGCGGTCTGTCCAGTGCCCTAGTGTAAACGGAGTGAATCATGTAGGAACACATGTGAACTTTGACATCATAGTGAGGGGGCAGACGCCAGAAGTGTGACTTGTGTAAACAAGACGAGCACTCTCCCCTATCGTGGATGAATCAACTCAAGGCTGAGTGCCAAAAACCCGATCAACAGTTTTGCCGATAATCGACTAGAACCGGAGCGATGGGCTTGTCCAACTTGTCAGTCCATTCGACAGTGATGAGTGCAGACTATTCCATCGGAGCTGAAGTATACCAATATGTGCTTCGTCCTTTTTCCGAGAGACGAAACTGTGAAGAGCGATCTATTTTGCTATGATCCCACGAGTCAACACTACGCATTGTGCTCTGGTAAGTTCCCGTCATGGATGCCGACAGACACAGTTATGCGAGTTGGAAATGTTTGGTTACGCTAAACTAGCTGACAGAACCTCCAATTGCACATCATAGCCACACATAAGCACTTGGTCAAGAAGTTTCGCACGAGGTGCATGATTTTGGTTGAGTATTGCAAAGTTTGATATACAATGTGAAAGTATGTAAATACCGTTACTACAAAATGTATTTTGGTATGGTTTCTCAGTTGCACACCAACGATGAAACCGCATGGCATGCAAATAATTCTAGGCTCTTTTTCAAATGTGGATATTCGTTGGTTTCGATTCGGGCAGTACGTGGCTGTACTTTAGTGTGGATAAGTCAGGTCGATCCTCAGTTTGCTTGTTATTTTTGTTCTTGACTTCATGTCGGTTGGACATAAGTGACTGGTGGTTGCTATATGTTATGTCCAGATGGGTAATCTGAAAAACAACTAAATTTTTCAAAGCGGGTAATCATTTCAGAACCTATGCCTAGAAAATCCACCGTGGGGTTTCGGAAACGGCTTCTGATGACTGACACTCTCAGGCCAACGGTTCATCACCTCATCCGAACCGGCGATTGTTCTGGGTTTGTTGGGCTGTGCGAAATTGCGTGTTACATACATTTCGGTTGGTCTGTACGAACGTGGGTGCTGTGTTAAATTTTATTTCGAACACCAAATTTCTTCACGAAGTACTCGAAAAATGCCGTCATTTTTGTACACGGTAGCGGCACTTTTGGGCCACACGTGCATCCAAATATTTAGACCTTCGTGCAGATATCTTTTACCGTACATTAAACGCTTTCTCGGAGTTCCATCTCAATCTTCGCTGACTCTTCTTCAGACTACCTTATTAGTAGGTACTTTCATAAGAACTCGGGTGATTTTTCCACGAATCTGTCATGTAAGTGAGGAAATGAAGAAAACGTTGATGCTGGCGAGGTGCATTTCGACTCGATGTTTTGCTGTCAATCCTTCTCAACATTTATGTTTTCCAGTGCATCGACCCATGGCTAACCAACAATCCAATCTGCCCGTTGGATCGACGCCCAGTTACGAAGAGCAGCATGCATCATGATTTCCTGATTGAAAATGTTATCGGTGATTATATGGTACGTTCACTAAAACTTCGTCACCATATGTAAGACAAGACTGGCCTCCCACCTTTCCCGTTCAACTGTGCTATTGGTGTGCTGCTTGAAATCTCTCTGCCTGTCTCTGAAACCTCGGGGGTCCAAATTCTCCCGGAACGTTCGCTCACAGACATTGAGTGTGCGAACGATATTGCTCTCCTTGGTTCAGGTTCTTCAAAAATACAAACCATTTTAACTAACCTAGATAACTCTGCTGTACGGTTTGGCATGCGCTTCGCACCTTGCAAAGTGTAAATGGCTGCTAGAAGACTGGGTGGGGTCAAGCCCAAACCTCATGTTTGCAGGAGCCAATCGACGTGGTAGATAAATTCGTTCACCTGGGCAGTTGTACAAGTTCCGGTGGACTGGCTGGAGATTAGATTACTTCTCGAATCGGGAAGGCCAGTATCTCCGGGTGTTTTCTGCATAAAACGCTTTGGGCCACTTCAGCCGCAATGTGTCCTCAATTGTTCAGTCACTTTCTGTATGATGCCCCATCAAAATGTGCTGACAGACAATTCGCTTTTCGTTGAGCCTCTACCCTTGGCCTGAGGAGTGATTTCTCTACTGTTCAGCTAGACTCAACTAAAAACCAAGAACAAAGATAAGTACTTGGTGGAGGTAAAGATAAAAAAAAGCGTTCAGCTGTAGCACCGTGCCTAGCGCCATGCCACCCCGAAGGAAGCACGAGGGCTGGGATACTGCCAGGTTGCCCAAGCCTAGACAGGGGAAGTCGAGTGGCGGAGGTCGGATTCGAACCGCGGACCTTCAGGTTAGTAATCCGCGCTCTAACCACTTCGGCCATCTAAAGTCTTGATGAAATAGCAAATACTTAACAGTGGTGAAACATTGAGTTATCGTCAGTTTTTCATGTTATTATGTGGCTTTCGTAGACTTTTCTGCATACTACAGCTGTTATGCATGTTCGAAAATGCGCCTTTTTCAAGTACTGGTAAAATAAATCAATTCACATCCATAAGAAACGACTTGTATCTTCAAGCAAATGGCAAGACCCGCTCTCGGTGTAGAGCATAATTTGTCCAATTTTGTAACCAGAGAGTTTCTTATGATCTTGGATATAAAGAGATATTATGGAGATATGGTATCATTTGACAACCAACACAGCGGACTTAGATGCGTTTCAGCTTGTTGATTTCAGTCGTTCGGAGACCGTATCTGCCAAACACACTTTCTTTTGTGTGTAATCGCGCTAGAGTGCCGCATGTCTGTCAAGCTTAATTCATTTTGACCTATGGGAATCAGGCTATACTATGTCGGCTTGTTTCAATTCATCTAACATCTTCATTACACTGTTGCACTGTTCCACGTGTGAGGAGCGGCACCGTGCGGATGACAAACTTTGTCCCGAATGAGCACTGTGGGAACCGGTCTTGAGGTGGTTGGTCCAAACTGGGAGCAATTAGGTTGCCTGATGGATTTTGTCGGTCGAGCTCAAGAGCTTGCATCTCAAAACATGCGGTTTCCGCTAAACGGGTGCACACGATTTCTAAGCGAGGTGGTGTTCCGTACAACGGTCGTTTTTTGGCTTAGTCAGGACTGCAGAAACTGGTCGAGTGTAGTCATTTCTATGAGCTTCATTTGTTCTGATCAAACCCGGTCATCCAGAGACAAATGCGCAGCAGTTCTCCACGGTGACGCCCACATGAGCAGGCTGCGGTTGACCGTACGCTAAACATACGGAATTGCGTGTTCTGACGCTGCGCAAATTAGTGGTCATGAAACATCCTCACGATAATTCGTGGTCGCAGTCTAGTAAGCGTGTTCTCCTGGTTGGAGAACAGGTAGCACCTCCCATAGAGGCTTGAAGACTATTTTCGGTGGACAACACGCTGCAGTCGTTAGCAATATGTTTTTGCCAAACTGGTTATTCTACCTTAAAAAGCTCCGCTTTTCAGGTCCAGTTTCCAAAATCCCAGTCGGTAGCATCCTTATTCTAATTTTCCAGTTTTACATTTTCCTCGTGGTCAGCAAAGAGAAAAATTACTCAGAGAAAGGCAGCGATAATGGGAATCACGATGGTTGAAGCGAGGAAGGAGTGTGGGCTGGCTTAACCCGTGTGGGTGGTTTTGTACTCGCCGTTCGCCATATATACCGATAGCAATTGTTATTGTAAAAGCGTTGAGGCAACTACTGTGGCATGGGTCTATTTGAGTGTGACAGTTTTCAGAATGCAGTGAGAAACTTAGCGAATCATAAACATCACATATGTGCCTTTTTCTTCTCGTGGGAGGAATTCCGTTAAAGTCAGGTAGAACTCAGTGGAGACTCACTTTTCTACTGATTTCTACTGTGGTCGCTCGGGACGTGAGGTTTTGCAGTACAAATTGAAGACCGACGACCAATCGTAGTGACCACCAATCAGCCACATGAGTGCACTATTGTACCTCAAACGTCACATGAATACAATACGTGCCCATGGTTCTTTGTAGACCAGTACGTATTGAATATCTTGGATGCTATAATCAACTACTCAGAGCCCAAGCGTGGTGTAAGGCGGGGGACCAAACTACAGCTGTCCGACACCTGGGGGACGCGGAAGAGTAAATGACAACGATCGGCTTGTACGCGGACCGCTGGGCATCACTTATCATTTCATAAAACATTGCATCTGGATTTCGACTACGTCAAGACTTATTTCGAATAATTGTGCTTGATTTCGGTTAACATCTGCACCCGGCTGGCAACCGTATAAGGAAATGAGACTTCAGTACCCGTCCTCTACTCTTGTTGAGATATTTCCAAATTTGTTTTGGCGGTTAGGTGAATACATCTTTGTTTGTCGTATCAGCTAGCTAGACATACCTGGCGATTGTTTCCCGCCAACATGCATACAAGTAATTGTGGTCTTGTCGTTTTGCTCCACCCTGCTACCGCCTTACAGCCAACTGTTGGCTGAGGGCTGTATCCGTCCACGAGCGCCCCGCTGGTGTTCCACTCTACACACTATCCATGAACTACAATGTAGACGGTGATCTGTTGATAATTTTCGGGCGTTGCACTAATTTTAAGCCTTTTCTCATCAGTTTGATTATCAGTTCACCGTGGCAACTTTATTTATAATAAGTTTGTTGGCCCAACTAAGCAGTGCTGGAAAATGACTCTCATGTTACAAGTTTTCTGTTTTGATATTGCTCCACCTTACGATGTGGGAAATCCGCATAACAATACGCTTGCCATTTCTAGTACGGCCACTCTCAAGAGAGGTCTCTCCTCAGGAGGAACGACTTTTGACTTGTTCCCTCAAGAGTTATGGGTGTTTCTTCTGCCCCTTTTGGACGCCATCGTGGAAGCCACTTATTAATCCTGACTGTTGTCTTGTCTGACCATTTTATTTTCCGGTTTCTTTCAGTAGTATGCTTCACAGTTCGGGATGTTTAATAACTGTTCAAAATCGTAACATTCTGTCCTCTAGGTTGCATGTCCTTGGCGCGCACTCGGTTGTGATTTTATTGGACCGTTGCATTTATTGCCATCTCACAAAAAATCTTGTTTGATGAATCCTGGATCGTTACCACCGGCGCTGCGTGCCCACACGACCGAACTTATGACGCGTAGTCAGGTCACAAACACAAAAGCTGCTTGCCTGCATGAGTTCAAAAAGTCCCCTTCCTTACCAGTTTTATTGTCTTCTGTACAAACCACGGCAACGACCACACCGAACTCCGCGTCTGTAAATACTGACATCGAAAACGCTCTACGTGTCAATGGAGCCAGTACTAGTTCATCCTCGCCATCTCCGTCCACTTCGCAACCCGCCGAACCCGCTGAAACTACAGAAACCAGCGTGATTCATGTCACAGATGACGAAGAAGAGCATTTGCCACCTGTTCGCCCTCCAAACCTTTTATTTCGCCTTTACCACAATTCTGACACAAATTCACGAGATCTTCTCTGTAGTTTCTTGGATAATGCCGCCATCCCAGCTCCCTCTCCTCCCTCGAAACGACGCAAGCGACGCTAGTTTAGTGTATTCGAAATCTGTCATCCTGGTGCAGCACCGCTGCTAATGGAGCATCATCTCTGATCCTTGTTTTTAATGTGAGTATCTTTGTGACGCATGACTTATTTGTGGTCACGATGTTTACTCAGCTTATATTCCACTACAAACTGATTCCTGCATCCTTAAGCAGGGATGTATCCTTTTGATCGTCTACAATACGTGCATTTATCCTCTATTCAATGAAACTTTTTGTGAACGCTTGCTGGGCGGTCTTTCCTTGAAAATACTTTGCTGTCAAAGACGTAAAAAGTACTGTCCTTTCCAAGGAACATCACTACGTTTCTCTACCTTTTAAAGGGGCAACTCATGCATCCTTAATACAGCAAACCTCAATAAGAGACGTCTATAATGTGGACCAGTTTTGCGGCTTCCCTTATTCAAGGTTTACTTGCACCAAGAGGGCAAGGGCATGAGGAACAACTTTTTTGATATTTCAACTAGCCAAGCAAAGAGGTTTACTGTTCCAAAACCTTGAAGCTGTCAATATATGGACTACGTTGTACTTGCATTACGTCCGGTGCTTCGTCCATATCACAGTACATCCCATATACTTATTCTATCCGTTCATTAGATGTTGCCATACAGTCATCATCATCCTCCGGAACATCACTAGATTTGTTAGCATTGTCATCTTCTCTCCCTTCATCCCATTCCGTACGTAGCAAAGGAAGCGGTGTGCAGCTATCGGTGAAATGGTTTGGGTCTAAACTACGAACTTCAAGTGGAGTAAGATCTGTCCAATCTCTCCAATCCCATTGTCCTACAACCCTGTAACACACGCGGCCAGCTGATGATTGACCACATAAACAAGCCCTAGCGTCACCACGGAATAAAGTGGATCTTGTTGAAGCGTGACTGATGTTTATTTGACGACATGTTTCGCAGTTTATCGCTGGGATACGATATGACACCAGTGCGTTACCAGCATAAGCCCGTTCACTCATTAGTAGGTGGAATCAGTGCACAACAGATTCATCGAACTCACTGAAAAGTTTACTTGTTTCTCAAGCTTATTGGATAATTCACCAGTGGTCACCGTCGGGCGATCGGGGTGTATGGTTTTTAGATTCGATCTCCTTAGGTGGAAGTGGCATCGCTGCTTCCATAAGTAGGAATATTTAAGTCGTCTGGAAGGGACATTTCAGTGCGTTCAAATCACACTGCTTCGTAATTCGACTTGTGGTACGGAGACTCGTCTTTCCTAGTCTGATCGTTGAGTTGGTCGGGTTATGTATTCTCAGGGATATCCGAAAAAGATACAGTAGATAACCATTGGTTTGAAGGAGTCTGTATAGACATTTTTCTACTTTACCTTTTAACTCGGAGGTGTTACAGTGTGTTTCAGTTTAATTGCATTGTGTCTGGATACAGGTCTGCTTGTGGTAGCTCTGATGGTTTCTTTGATAGTGTTGGATGTGGTTCGTGCAATCACCTTCCTGTGGATCTCGGTTTGTGGTTGCCCATTCAACGCTCTGGAGGTGAGCACGTCGAAGAATGCCAGTTTTCCGTCGTTCTCTTCTTTGATTGTAAATTTAATTTCGTCAAAAACTTTCAGTAATCCACTTTCTTCTGTGTAGTTCACTACTTTTGATCACCATAAAAGTATCGTCCACGTAACGGTCTAATAACTTTGGAACTACGATAACAACCGTCCAAGCTGCAGCGAGTAAAACTATATCCGAGCACTTTCCAAGTGAATTGAAACATCGGAGTCCAAATTTACGGTAGAAAAACGTCTATACAAACTTTTCCGAATCAATGGTTCTCCAGTACGTTTTACTCCTAGATCCCCGAGAAAATGTCATCCGACCAACTCAACAATACAGGGGAAAAACAAACAGTCCCAAATATCAATGGCATTTTAGAAGTGACTTAAGGATGGTAAGACAGCACAACATAACGGTAGCACGAAAACCAACGAACACGCCTCGGAAACCACTGTCAAAGTCAAAAAGAAAAACTGAAAACAGCGAAGAATACTAACATTATAGACGAAACTCAATGCAGAGATAGTGACAAGGGCTGGAAGAAAACTATTCACCAGATAGCACGAATACTAACTTGCCGTTAAGTGAAATGACCAGTTCTCACTCGCCTTCGTACACAAAGATGACGGGACATAGATTTAACCGGGAAAATGCTTATATACTATCCCAAAAAACCAATAACGAATGTCATTTCATAGAGGTGATGTGCTTACTCAATTGAGAACGTCATGAACAGACACAGTGACATCGAGCAGATCCGTCTAACTCTCAAGAACAAAGAACCTGAAGACACTTAACCGTACAAGGAGCCAGAGGAAAAACCATTAGAAGCCACCAAGAGGACGCAAAACGCTGGGTAAAAATCAAAATAATCAAAACTACTGGAAAAGAAACAAGATGGTCCAACAAAATATCAAGTGCTGATCGCGTAAACCAAAATAGGTAATGCATGGACCGGTGGAGTGGATCGGCACAGTGGAGCGGAAGTGACGAACGGACCAATCAAACCGAGGAAAGAAAACCACCAAAACTGGAAGGTGCCTGGTGGCCTGCACAGGTTGCTCAATGACTGACTGTAATGTAATGCACAAGGGAAGCAAAACGGACTTATAGTAATGAATGAGCACAATTGCCGAAATGGAGCGAATCAATGGACTAACCAGATGCGAGATAAGCGGACCCCAACAACACATCAATCCCGACAGCCCACTTAGGGAAATCCTCAAGTAACCAATCATATTCGGGGACCATATGGGCTATGGAAGCTATATAAATGCAGCCGAAAGTAGAAGGATCATCCAGATAACCACGCTGGGTCTTGTCCCTTAGCATGTTGACATGTTGCTAAGCTCGGTGAGCAGACGAAGTGCCATTTGATCAACAGCCGAAACGTAACCGTTTCTCGTACATTTTCCGCGAACAAACGGTTGCAATAAGCAAGGTTGGTACTGTACGTTTCCGCCTCAGTTAATTGCCTGACTTTGGGTTTACGAACAACACTTGATTTCCGGAGGAATTTGATTCAGTGGACACTGAATCACATCTGAGACCAACAAATTCAGTTTGGTATGCTAGAAGCCCTACACTACTGCAGTTCAGAGCTGACCCAGGACTATTCTTACAAGTTAATACCATCCAAAGCTTGGGCCATTTAGCCGAGCTTTTGATTCTCACTCCCAAGAGAATTCTGTTGACATCTGCCCGCCTGAGTAGTGGGGAAACTGAGTTGGGTTCAGTCAACTCGCGAGATCTCCGTAAGTTGTTGAATTTGGGAGCACATTAGTTTTCATTCTTACGGATTGAAGAAATGGCGTATGAAACTACGCCTGATATTAACAAAATTCTGATTCGTCGTTTCAATAGAGTGAAGAAAGGCGGATTGAGTCATTGGGTAGTTACAGTCATTTTCTTCAACAGTAAGCCTGCAAAACAATTCCGTGAAGATGCTGCCACTAATTAGGTCTGCAGTCAATTCAATTTGCACTAAAATTCCATTATAGGTAACAAATATTTACCGGACCATCTCAGACTGAGTGGAAGTCCGAGGACGTCTGTTTTATCTATAGATGTTGATAGAAATCGGCTTATTTGCACTGGGCATCTCCCATTGATTCCTGTAGCACAGATTGCCGCGACAATGCAGTCGGATATGTTGACATATCTAGTGAATATCTACACTTTATTCCTCTATTTTTTAGTAACATCTATCCCCCTTTTTGCCGGAGAACATTCAGTTACTTATAAGAATGAATGAATTTACTAGGTCTAGATGAAATGTGAAGCGTTTACAGACCAGCAAAAAAAGTGACAATTAAGGCTTTTGACAATGATGATGTGTAGACAATCAGTCAGTTATCTGAACGCATGGAACCGCCCTGGTTACATGTTGCATTCGGTACTCACTGGATCCTGGATTCGCTAGCAATATGTATAGAATACGCTTAGTGGTACCCTGATGTTTGGAAAGGAATCCATGAACAGACTGATTCACTGTGTGTTCACCAGTATGATTCAAGAGTGTGCAGATGGGGACGCACATGATCTATGGAGTTATTTTGGCAAAGAAAGACGAGAATCCTCCAAACATACTGTCACAATAACCCTAAAAGAAGTGTGATTATTATCTCAGAATTTGTCGGAGATCCAGTCACGGATCCTTTGAGCCACACTGCATAAATGCCTGTTTGGATTCCAACCCTCCCCAACTAAGAAGTTTCTCCTCACGAGAAGGAACGTCGCTTCTGTCGAAAGGCGTTGTTTTTAAATAGTTCCGACCCTTCATTACTTTGTCACAAAAGCACTTGTGTGAGGCTCTCAGGAAGGACGTCTCAATACGACAATTTCGTTTGGTATTCTTCGACAAAAGATGGAGGATGAAATCGCAGCATATCAGCTGTTGATCGTAAGCATGTCTCAGATAGTCAGTCTGTCTTTCAGCCAGTCGAATTTAGGTTACCTGTGTAGTGTTTCAGTTCTATCTATAATTTTATCGTCGTATAATTTTCTGGCGTCTTTACTTCGTTCAGTAGGTTTAACATCCGGTGAACTAACGACTATCAGTCGCCGCTTTGTTTTAGATGGACCTATGTCCTCCTGAAAAGATAAAATCAGTCTACGTTATCATTACCTTGGAGGAAAGCGTACAGCGAAGGGTTCTTCCGTTTAAAATGAGCTGTTTCTGACTGACGAATGATCGCGGAACCGGAGGGCTGAACTATCAGGGGAAATACGTTTACGTTAATAATGTAATTTTAGAAAACAACAGGATGGGGCAACCACTGAGAAGAAGAAACAGATGTTGCCGAATTGTCATGGGAAAAAATGAGACAAAAAGTGTTAGAACAAAAGGGGCTCATACTGCACTTTGTGTGTACATTGTGTTAAAACCCACTATATCCACTCTATGGGTGTGTTTCTTCATCAATGCGTTTATGTGTGTTGTTGAAGCTCCATGAGTTTTTATGTGAACTTCTATGCAGAGTATATATATATTTATATTTATATATATATATATATACTGAGATAAGGTGGGACATTTGTGGTACCCCAACAGACAGACAGGTTAGTGATACCTTCGTTGCTCATTCGCGCAAACTGTTGACTGCTGTGTTTGCTGTTCTGATCAGCCCAGCCAGATGTACCAACTACGGTATCCCTTTACACAAGTTTAGCTTGGTGCCAACATCCAGTGAGTGGATAAAAGCCGGTAGCGAAATGTCTGCCAACCAATGCGGGTCACCTACCCAGAGAAGCAT